AACACATAATCTTATTAACTGTCCTGTGATCCACTCCTTGATTTGTCTGTTCCCACCTTCAAGTAATCTTTCTTAATTTCAAATGCATTAAAGAAGCTGCAGAACTCTCTGGAGCATTTGAGATCTTGCTCCCAGCTTATGGTGTCAGTTTGGCTTAAGTACACTATTATACAAATTCTCTACAGGTTTGGATCTTTCTTACATTGACACAAGCTATATGAGTAGGTTTCAACAAAAATCTCCTATGGAAACAGTATGGTGGTTCCTCAAAAAATTAAAAACAGAATTACCATATAAGCAAATAATCCCATTTATGAGTATATACTCAAAAAGAATTGAAGGCAGGCATTCAAAGCAATATCTGTACACCCATGTTCATAGCAGCATTATTCACAAAGCCTAAAGGTGGACATAACCCAAATGGAACATCAAAGGACAAATAGAGAACAAAATGTAGCACACACATACAAAGGAATATTACACAGCCCTAAAAAGAAAAGAAAAACCTACACATGCTATAACATTAATGAATCTGAGGACATTATACGACATGAAATGAGCCAGTCACAAAAAGACAAATACTATATAACACCACTTATGAGGAACTTGAGTAGTCAAATTCAGAGTCATAAATAGAACTGTGGTTGCCAGAGGCTAGTGGGAAGGAAAGAATGTGAAATTGTTGTTTAATGGGTATAAAATTTCAGTTTTACAAGATTAAGAGTTCTAGAGATCAGCTGCATAACAAAGTGAATGTGCAGTAAGTCCTCCAATAATAAATTTCATTCAATATAATTTCATTATAATATTGATGAGATACTGTAGGAAATTAACTCTTGCTTATATCAATTAGCCTATGTTAAAACTGGTTTCCTGCTGACCCAACTAGGGCTCAGGACTCTTGATACACAATCTAGTCATCTTTCTACTATAGCTACCTCCTTGATCCCAGGTTCTTAGGTTTAGAAGGGCTCCAAGGCCACATATAAAAGCCCTGAGGTCATTATATGAACAAAATCTCCTTTCTCTTAATTTATTTTTTTTATTGCTTAAAGTATTACAAAAGGTATTACATATGTGTCCATTTTTTTCCCCCGCCCTAGACAGTCCCCTAGCCTCCCCTATCCCCCAGTGTCTTATGTCCATTGGTTATGCTTATATGCATGCATACAAGTCCTTTGGTTGATCTCTT